GCCCGCCCGCGGAGCCGGGAACCCCGGGGCCCTGGCCCTGTGCTCGCGGCCAGCTCTGGGTCGACCCTAACCGTATCCTCTGCGACCTCCACCTAGCTTTCTTTATTTACCCACTCCTAGGCAGGCCTCGGGAGATCACGGTGTCGAACTTCACTTTATAACTGAGCAAACTGACACCCAGGAAGACAAAGACAGAGACTTCCTTTAAGACCAACCTTCAAACCAGGTATGCTCCCTCCTGAGGAGAGTTGGAAGACTTTCCAAATAGGATGTGAACATGGGTAGTTTTAAGAGGAAAATCAGCGAACTTTTTTTTGGAAAGGACTAAATAGCTCAGGTTTTGCTGGCCTTGGAATCTCTGCTGCAATGATTCAGTCTCATGTTCTACAGTTCAGAAGCCCCCATATGAAGACTTAAGGGAATGAGCATTTCTCTGTCCTAATAAAACATTATTTATGGACACTGAAGTTAGAATTTTATGTCATTTTCACGTTTCACGGATTTTTTTTTTTTAATAAGACAGGGTCTTGCCGTGTAGTCTAGATTGATCATGAACTCACGAAGCAACCCAGGCTGGCCTTGAACTTGTGGCAGTCCTCCTGCCTCAGCGTCCCTAGTGCTAGGATTACAGGCATGTGCCACTATGCCCAGTTTATGAGTTATATTCTTTTGACTTTTCCCACCATCACTTAAAAATATAAACATTCTTAGCAGTGGGCCAAACAAAAACAGGAGACTGGCACCCAACTTTGGTCTCAAGGTGCCTGCTGTTTTAAGGAATTCATTTTTCAGATTAAGAACTTCTAAAAAACTTGGTCTCCCAGAAAACTGGTCTGCAAGTTCACCTTCATTGTCAAACCAGTTTCCCAAAGAAAGTGGGCTTGCTGTTGCAGCTCTATATTCTCAGAATTCTAGAAGGCTGAGGCTGGAGGTTCACAAGTTCAAGCTCACCCTGGTCAATTTATAGACTTAGACTGTCTTTAAAAATAAGAAAGGACTGGGGCAGTAGCCCAGTGAGAAGGCTCTGGATTCAATCCTCAATACCACAAAGAAAGAAGGAAGGAAGGAAAAAGCTGTCCTTCTTTACTCCTGAGCTTCCTGTGTGTGGTGTGTGTGTGTGTTGGGTGGGGGAATAGTAATAATCTCTGAACCCCAAGTACAGTCACTGTGGGAATTATTAGAGGGAAGCATCCTGTAATGATCAAATGGTCAAAGTTTCCTAGCCTTGTCTCTCCCTAACACGTATATGGTTCTAAGGGTGTAACCTGGCTTTAGAATGAGGATATTTTAACAGAGTGCAGTGGCACAAACCTGTATTCTCTAGCGATTCACAGGCTAAAGCAGCAGGATTGCAATTTTGCGGCTAGACTGGGCTATTTAGGGAGACCCTGTCGAAAAATAGAACGAAAAGGGCTAGGAATGTGTAGAGTGTTTGCCTAGGTCCATTCCCACTACCACAAAATAACAAAAATAACAATAACAACAAAATTCCAGAACTAGGGTATTTGGGCCTCTGTTGGCATGGGTTCATATATTGCTTTGCTTCCTAGAGAAATGGAAATGATTTCCCTTCCAGCCCTCCACCCCCAACCCCTGGGGACTGAATCGGGGCTTTGCACCGGTCTCTGATCCTGTTTTTAATTTTGAGACAAGGTCCCAGATTGGGCTCCAACTTTTGCTCCTCAGTCTCCTGAGCAAGTGGGATTACAGGCCTGCACCACCACCCTGCCTGGCTGCTCTGCTTGATTATTATCAAAAAATAAAAGTCTTTTGTGACAAAGAGCCTTGAGAGCCACCGACTGAACAGGCAAATGGGAAGAGATGAGCTGTATTTCTGTCACACACCTATACAACAGGTTTCAATAATGCAGAGCACAGATAATGAAATATATTGAGATAAATAGGATATGATGAGTTTGGGGTGCTTATTTTCTTTGTTATTTATTTGGTGCTGTGACTGAACACAGGGTCTGGTGCTTACCAGGCAAGTGCTCTACCACTGAGTTGTATACCTGGAGCCCTTCTTTGTTTTAAATATAATTTATTAAATTCTAAGTTTATGTAATTTAATTTTTAGTAATAGGTATGTTTAACAACCAGTTCAAAACATCCCTAAATATTAACTCTGGTGAGCCAGTACAAGCTGACGCTAGTTGCTCTAGCTTCACATCTATAAAAAATTGAAAAAGGGGAATAAAATGATTGCTAGAACATATCCCCTTCTAACACAAGTGATATTTCTACAGATTTAAGTGAACTGACTGGAGAGGAAAAATTACTCCATCCAACTCATTAAGACAGGCATTTCCTCAATATGGAGATACCTCAAAGAGCTGGGACTGGAGGTTCCATTTGACCCAGCCATAGCTCTGCTGGGTGTCTTTCCCAAATAACTAAAAGAATCATATCACAGTGACATATGTGCACCTATGTTTATAGCAGCACAGTTTGTCATAGCTAAAACTTGGAAACAGCCCATTTGCCCATCAGTTGGAAACTGGATAAAGAAGATGTGGTTTTTCTATAAAATGGAATACTACTCAGCCATAAAGAATGAAAAATTAGAGTCATTCATAGGAAAATGGATACATTTTGAGGATATACTCCTAAGTGAAATAAATAAGTCACACATATGTAAATACCGAATAGTTTCTCTGGTGTGAAAAACTATAATACTACTCAAGATCCTAATGGGATAATTAACAATGTGAAATAGGAAGAAAAGGGCTAAAGGTGTAGGGAAAGTGGGAAGGGTAGGGGAAGGGGAATAAGGGAAAAGAAAAAAAATGTGAGAAAATGAAAAAATGGAATTAAAGTGTTTGTAAATGGGGAAGGGAGGAGCGGGTGAAGGGAGGGTAGGGACAAGGGGAAAAAATAAGAACCAAGACCTGTCATGTAAATGTACAAGATCCCAGTAATGAATGTATCTGTACTGTATACCTAGAATGTACCAATAAACAATAAAAAAGAGGGGCATTTCCAAAACATTTTACCTTTTCTGTTTAATAACTATTTATTAAATTTTGTAGGACAGGGCCGGGGATTTAGCTCAGTGGTGCCACTGCCTGCCTTGCAAGTGCAAGGTCCCAAGTTCAATCCCTGGTACCAAAAAAAAAAAAAAAAAAAAAAAAAAATTGTAGGATAGGTTTCACAAATGTATATGTATGTCAAAAGATTTATCTTAAATATGTGTAGTTTATCTTACATCAGTTCTACCTCAATAAAGCAGTTTTAAATTGTAAGATTTATTAAAATTGTCATGAATTTATTGTTTCGATTGTGTACAATTATTTGACCAATAATTGTAGGGATAGAAAATGTCACACCTCGTGTTATGGTCAGAGAAGGTAAAATAATAATTCATTTTACATTCATACTTTAAATAAAGAAATAGTCTTATGCGTAATGCTCTGAAGCATAAAACTTGTAATAAAATCTTTTGGTAGAACATGGAGTGCAGATTTGAGCTCAGGTAAGAAAAGAAATGACGCAAAATATCTGACTGCCAGAGAAGAGTCCATCCCTGTATTTTTTAAATAGATGGTTGCAAGTATCAAATTGCTAGGGCATTTAATTCAACTGCATAAATTTAAAAAATGATGTGACCAATTTACTTTTGCAGGTGTGAATCTACTTTTGCTGGAAATTACAAAGAGCTCTTCACCCATAGTAAATGTGTAATCCTGTCATTTCAGCACAGCTGAGGGACTGGATCGCGGGACTCTGCCTTCCAGAACGGTGCCAACCCTCCCTGGTCTTCCTCACTCCATGCAAATCCTTCACCATCCCTAGATAATGACATCCAGGACTTTTTTCAGAGTCCACGGAATGTCCAAGCCACTGCCTTGCATAACCGCAGAAACTGGGAAAGCTTGGCTCCAAAAGGTCTTCCCAGACCATTCAGTACAACAATACCCCTATTATGAGGCAGGAGAACCAAAATCCACACAGTGAGTCAGCATCTACCCTAGGTATTTTGAAGAATTCTAAAAATAGCCACTCCAATTACTCTTTCTATTTGTTTTGCTTAATTTTTTCTCATAACATTTCCTCACTGACATCATGATTTATTCTTTTACTTGTTTACCACCTGTTTCCTCCAGATGTGCATCTCATGAGGGCAAGGACACTGTTTTATCTATCCATACATCTCCAGCACCTTGCTCAATGGCTGGCTCATGTTGTTGTCCAGTTAAAGTTTGCTATATGGTCCTGCAGATAAAAATTATGGTTATACAAAATGAAGGGCCAAGTAACAAAACTGTTTTATGGAGAGTCACTGGTACTGTTTCTATTGTGACAAAAAACATAAAACTTTACATTCTAAGGAGGAACGATGTTTATTTCATTCTTATGTCCAAGGAGAGACATACTTCCAGTAATATATATTGGCAAATCAGCCTATTTCCTGTTTGCAAAGCCAACAGCTGTTTGTTCTGAAATCACCAAAGAAATACACTTTGCTAGCAGAGTTTATTTTGGTTTGGGGTTTTTGTTTTTATTTTTTTACAGTGACACACCTGAAATTTTGGAAACTTGATTCTTGTTATACACAAAGTGAGTTAGCTTCCTGTAGCACCTTCATGTTAAATGTACCTGTGCTGAAAAAAAAAAAAAAAAAAAGTAGCAGCACTAGTAGCGGTCACTGAGACTGTTAACAGAAATATGGATAATGATTACAAATAAATCACTTGAGGCACTGAAAACAATTTGCTGCAGGGATAACTGGGTGGAAGTCATGTAGGTGCCTCTCCTTAGAGGCCCAGACATAGCAATTGACTCATTGGTCGTTTACACAACAAACATTTGACCAGCTCTTCAGCAGTTCCCTGATGAGTGGGTCGTAATCCCCAGTTATATAGTAGGCTGAGGATCTACTTTATGCCAGACTCAGAGG